TTTGGCTGTTTGTCTACTATGGCTGGAGAGTAAAAGCTTCGGTGGAGCTGCAAATAGCCTTTTTATCGACAGCCCGAAACTGTGTGTGACACTTCGAGGAGAGACAGAGAAGAAAAAAGGGTAAAACCCCTAAAATAATATCTATCTATCTACATATCTATCTATATATCCGTCCATCTATCCATCTATCCATCTATCCGTCCATCTATTCATCTATCCATCCATCTGTCCATCTATCCGTCCATCTATCTATCTATCCAGCTATCCATCCATCTATCTATCTATATATCTATCTATCCGTCCATCTATCTATCTATATATCTATCTATCCGTCCATCTATCTATCTATATATCTATCCATCTATCCGTCCATCTATCCATCTATATATCTATCCATCTATCTATCCGTCCATCTATCCATCTATCTATCCATCTATCCATCTATCCGTCCATCTATCATCTATCTATCCATCTATCTATCCATCTATCTGTCCATCTATCCGTCCATCTATCCATCTATCCGTCCATCTATCCATCTATCTATCAATACATCTATCTATCCATCTAACCATCCATCTATCCATCTATCTATCTATACATCTATCTATACATCTATCCGTCCATCTATCCATCTATCCGTCCATCTATCCATCCATCTATCCATCTATACATCTATCTATCCATCTATCCGTCTATCTATCTATCTATCTATCCATCTATATATCTATCTATCCGTCCATCTATCCATCTATCCGTCCATCTATCCATCTATCCGTCCATCTATCCATCTATACATCCATCTATCCATCTATCCGTCCATCTATCCATCTGTCTATCTATCTATCTATCCATCTATCTATCCGTTCATCTATCCATCTATTTATATATCTATTCATCTATCTATATATATCTATCCATCTATCCATCTATCCATCTATCTGTCCATCTATCCATCTATCCGTCCATCTATCCATCTATCTGTCCATCTATCCATCTATCCGTCCATCTAGCCATCTATCCGTCCATCTATCCATCTATCTATCTATACATCTATCTATACATCTATCCGTCCATCTATCCATCTATCGTCCATCTATACATCTATCCGTCCATCTATCCATCTATACATCTATCTATCCATCTATCCGTCCATCTATCCATCTATACATCTATCTATCCATCTATCCGTCCATCTATCTATCAATACATCTATCTATCCATCTAACCGTCCATCTATCCATCTATCCGTCCATCTATCCATCTATCTATACATCTATCCTTCCATCTATCCATCTATCCGTCCATCTATCCATCTATCTATCTATACATCTATCTATCTATCTATCCGTCCATCTATCATCTATCGTCCATCTATCCATCTATCCATCTATCCGTCCATCTATCCATCTATCTGTCCATCTATCCATCTATCGTCCATCTATCCATCTATCCATCTATCCGTCCATCTATCCATCTATCTATACATCTATCTATCCATCTATCCGTCCATCTATCCATCTATCTGTCCATCTATCCATCTATCTATCCATCCATCTATCCGTCCATCTATCTATCCATCTATATATCTATTCATCTATCCATCCATCCATCGTTCTATCTATCATTCATCCATCCATCCATCCGTCCATCCATCCGTCCATCCATCCATCCATCCATCCATCCATCCAT